ACACACACACACACACACACACACACGCACACACACACTAAATAAATAAATAAATAAATAAATAAATAAATAAACTTTAAAAAATAGATGGTAAAAAATTGCTAGGTCTAAAGGGTTTAGAGTAATTTTGAGAAAACAGAAAGTTATATGAAGTAATTTAACAAGTCTGAAAAAGAGCCAAGAAAAAAAAATGTGAAATTAAAAAGTACAAATATGTAAACTGCAAAAGAGAATGCACTGATTATAGTAGGTGTGCAGAGATACAAAAATGACCCTGAGTATAAAGCAAGGAAGGTAGCCATATCACAAGATGTTCAAGAAAAGAAAGAAACAATGATAGCCATAATACCATCTCTACCCAGGCTGTATACAGTGACTTGTTCAAGCCTTTGTATTATTATCTGGCTGGGGTAAAAGGTATTATTTATAGTTTATGGTTGGATGGCAGATTTCTAAGGGCACAGCTAAAACAAAAGAGAAAACACAGCATTAAACAATGGAAATAAGCCAACATGTCAAGTAACGTATTTTTAAAAAAAAAATCAAATACAAAATGCACAAAATATGGTAATAGGTTGAAACATAAAAATTTCATCCAATACCATGTGAGTTTTCACATTACAGGTAATAAGGCCAAAGGAAAAAACCTTCCAACTAGATTGTTCTATATTTCTTCTTATTGACAGTATTTTCTCATACAATACACTCTGGTCACAGCTTCCCCTCACAGAGCTCCTCTCTGATAACACTCACCCACACAACTCCAACCCTTCTTTTTCTCAATCTTCAGAAAACAACCTATTGAAAATAAGTAAAACGCATGAAGATGTCGACTAAGATGTGCAGGAAGACAGTGTTTGGGGTCCTCAAGTGTCCTTGTATCAGGTGACTATTTGATCAAGCATTGATATGGACCACAGTCACCAACAGTTCTCACTGCCTTGAGCTACACCCTTGTCAGTTAACCAGACATGGTCCAGACAGGTGTCTTGAGCGAAATGAATGGTGTGCAACTGAGACTGATTCACTTGTAGAGGGGTCAGTCATTCCTATGACAGACAACAGTATGTCTAGATGTGAGACCGTCTATCCCTGATAAAGAAACCCACCAACATTTGCAAAGGACAGCTGTCAAGTTTGCTGGCATGGCCTGCACCAGTCTGATGTTTTTGTTGTTGTTGTTTTTTGAGACAAGGTTTCTCTGTGTAGCTCTGTAGACAGGCTGGCGTTGAACTCACAGAGATCCTCCTGCTTCTGACCCTCAAGTGCTGGGATTAAAAGCATGGGCTACCATTGCCCAGCTGACATTTACCATTTTTATCTGACTCAGTGGGAATGGAGACAACTTTACTAGACGCTTGTGATTTGTTGAGCACAAGGGACTCCCAGCCTGCACCGTGAGGTAGACAGTCCATGGTGCCTGTTTGTATTTCAAAATGGACTTCTCTCTTTTATTGTCATGGCATTGTTATGGGAGTTGATAGAACCTTAAAACAAAAATAATGATGAACTAAGTTGGGTAAAGGAGGAGAGAGAGGAGAGAAAGAAATGGGGAAGGGGACAGAGAGGAGGAATAAAGGAGAAAATAGGGAGCGAAAGAAGAGGAGAGGAGAGGGGAGGAGAGGAGAAGAGAGGAGAGGAGAAAAAGGATCAATCCACAATAATTATAGTTGAAAATGTTAACTCATCTCTTAGTAGTTGGCAGGATATTCAGGAAAAAAAATTATGGGCTTATATGCATAAGTAGCAGAGTACATATAAATGTCAAATAAATGATTCCATTCCCGTTTACTGCAGAAATAAGTTATTTTAAATGGAATGGAACTTTAAAACATGTTTATATAAATGCTGCTTTCATCTGCAGAGGATGAAGAACTGAAAAGACAACCTAGCAAGCACGGCACATGCAGAGCTGTCCAGTAAATACTGCAGCCCTACTGTTCCTGGGGAGAGCAGCAAACTTGATCCTGTCAACCACACAGCACAGAGCAGTTTGGGAGGCCTGCAGCTCACCGTGGCCATGACCAGCAGGACCATTTCCAAAGTCAGAAAGGAAATAACAAGTGGGTGTGAGTCTGCAAAAATAGCATTGGAGCAAGTACAGGAAGTGGAGCCCTAAGAAGGAATGCATTCTGGGAGGAACAGAGAAAGAAAACAAATGAATTCTTGCTTTGATGTTTTTTTGTTTTATTTTTAAAATGTGTGTGTGTGTGTGTGTGTGTGTGTGTGTGTGTGTCTATGTGTGTGTGTGTCTGGGTGGGTGGGTGTGTGG